ATAAGAGCCCCATCCTTCTTGCTGTCTGTGGCTTTGTCTAAGCCCAGTGCCCAAGGCCATGGAGCGTGAGGAGAGGCTCACTCCTTGTTGGGAGACTGTTCTATTTGCTCTTTCCACCATCTCTGTGCCTACCCTGGGATTCAGACAGCCTGTAGAGCATGACAGGCGCCTGTGGTGAGTGCAACCTGGTGGAAGCAGACAGTGGTCACTGAGTTTATCAGCTGTGGCTCATTGGCTTTTACTGGGGAAAAAGACAATAACGTCTTTCAGGGCAAAAGTCCTTATGTATTACACCTGCTCACAACCTCTGATTTGCCTAAATTCCACTTGCTCCTCTCATCAAAGTCCTCCCTTTGCTTCAGAAGGCTTTTCTGCTCCCTGCTTTTCCCCATTCTTGGATGTGTAAGTGCAAACAGTGTTGACGTGTTGCAGCTCAGTGAGAGCTCCCGAGCACCTCGGGCTTCCAGTAAAACCAAGAACCAGGAGCAGAAGGTACTTCAGGCCCCCAACTTTCATACTATCCATGGTGTTCATCTCCAGTCTTTCACTTGTGAGTTATGAGGTTATCAGTGACTTGTGATAGCACAGCGTGTGGAGCAGGCTGATGCTGCAAGGAAAGTTGCTTGTTTAGCTGTAGCTCTGCTGTCTTGGATGTGTCTGTACAGATAAAACAGCACTGCATTTCCCACTAATGACAGCTCGTGTTCCTGGGGCACAGCTCAGAGGATGAACTGGTTACAATGCTCAGGAAACATGCTCAGCTCAACCTCCATTACATGGGACTTGAGCAAGGCTGAGGTGGATGGGGACATGGTGGATATCAATGCTGGTAAATTGCACTGTAGTGAGCAAAGTCCAGATGGTCTCACAGTTTTCAGGAGTTTGGCCATTGCCTTGTGTTGGTAGAAAATACGCACTGGAACGCTGGAGTTACTTGTAACTGTCCATGTCTTGTCAGCAGGTTGCTGCTGCAAAGCCACCCTCCATGTTTCCCTGACACATCCACACCATCAGGCATCAGCATCATTTCCTGTAGAGGCTCAGAGGCCAAGCTGGCAGCCCATGTTGCATCTCTTGTCTCAGGGGCTAATGCCTGTCCTGAGCTACAGCATTGCAGGGTAGCAAACAAGGCAAGGAGAGAGGGGGAAATGGAGAATAAAAGAGAGATGTCTGGGTCTGGGTAAGGAAAGAAATTTGGAGCAGGAGCTAGGAAGGACATCTGGGAACCAGATTCCTTTCCTTGAGCCCACTGCAAGGAGCTGGCTTGGATAAACGAGAAGTGTTCTTGTTTCTCTGCTGAAAGCTGCAAAATGTGATAAGAGTAGGTGATCTGGCGTTGTAGGAAGAGGTGACATCTAGGGAAATCACTGTGCTTTTCATGCCTTTTAGCTCGGTGAATAGTCTTACAACCCTTTTAGAACAGTGAGGCAAAATTTGAGCCCCTGCGTTGTCATCTGCACTGCATGTTCTCAAATAAATGTCCCTTGGGGTGGTGTGGGGGGACCTGTGGCACTGACTGGTGTTGGGTGGAAGGATTAGCAAAAGTAAAGCAAATTTTCATCAGAGCAGAGTCGGTTGACAGGGCTCAGGAGTGGATTACCATCACAGCTGCTCTGAGCTGCACACCAGGAATTCAGGGGCAGACAAACAAGCCAAGCAGTGAAGCTCTCTGCTGTTTTTTTGTCTTTTGACTCACAGCAGGGACTGAGCCAGGGGATAGGAGTGTAGGCGTTGCAGAAGTTCACGTGAGTGGATGGTCTCTGGCGTGAGTAATTTGTTGGACTGGGTTGGCTTATGTTTGCTTTCTGTCGAACTCACGTTGGCTGAGCCAAAGATAGCATCCTTTTTCTTTTTAAACCCATTTTTCCATATTCTGCTGGCTGAAAGAGGGGGTGCACAAGCGACATATCTGCAACAATGCCATAAATCCAGACAGAAATAGAATTAGCAGTTCTATCTGGTTCCGGTGTTTGTATCTGCGAGGTCGTGAGCTTAACCAGTGTGGGTTCCTCGGAGCAGAGTCATGTCTGTGTGAACCTGTTGTGCCTTGGGACCTGGTGCTTGGGTTTTGTTCCAGAACAATATCATAAAACTTTTATAGCAACGTCATGACGAAGAGCATGGGAAGAGAAATAACTTAACCCTCTCTTGCTGAAGTTGGTGTTGCAAACGCTTCTCCTGTTTCCCCATGCAGCAAATCCTTCAGTTGAATATGGGAAGAGAGAAGATGCAAGATCTGTGGAGATGGGGAAGAGGAAACAAGCAGGAATCTGTCTTTGCCAGATTACTATTTCTTAAATGTCTCCAAAGTCCATTCCTGTCCTATTAGGCCCTGACACATATCGGTAGTGTTATTCGTTGGCACTTCTGTACTGCATTGTGCTCCAGCATTTGTAGAACTGGGCCTTTAATCTACGTTGATTATGTTTTAATTGAATAAATAAATCTTTTACAGAGCCCAGAATCAATAGAGATGTTTCCATTCTATTTTATTTTGTTTTTCTAGGTTTCCTAAGGACATTTAACTTTTACAACCTTACAACTTGTTCTGCAGTGTTTGCTAGTCAACTATTGCATAATTGTTCTGGGGAATGAGAACCTGGGAATAATATGGCCCAGAAATGCTAAGAAGCAGAAATGAAATCGGCTGATCTTCTCATCTACCACCATCCCTTCTCTCCAGGGCCAGGGTGCCAAACAGGTCCTGTGTGTACTCCAGGTTTATTCCTGGGTCTGTCATTCCCTTGATTTATCACCTCACATGCTGGGGTCTTGGATGCCCTTTGCACCTCCCCTCTCCTTTCCAGGCCGACTTTTGGCTGCTTGGCTTAAAAATTCGCTGGAGTGGAACAATCACAGTTTTTCTGTCTGGGAAGCCTGTGGCAGTTATAGGCCAACAACTTGGAGGATGGAGAAAAACCAAACAAGAGCCATGAAGTGGAAAGGAAATTGTACTTTTGGAGATATAAAAATGCAGGTGCCTACAGTTAGCCAGGAGTAAGGGTCTGGGGTAATTCCTGTGAAAAATATTTCTCTTTTTTTGCACAATAGTTTGGATGGAAAGACTTTGGCTCTATAATAAAAATAGGCAAGAAGAGTTGAGTTTTTAAGTAGTTTCTAACCTGACTCTCAGCCTTGTAAATGGGGTGTTCTTGCATAAAGCACATAGGAGCTTCCATTTTCTTGTTAGTCAAGGCAAATTTATTGTAATCCAATAAAATTTAATAATCATTAGGAACTAATGAATGCCTCAGCACGTATAAGTTTGGCCAACAAATAGCCTCTACTTTACATAACCTGTCTCTCATTGACCAACTTGCCACTTATATGTCAGACTGATGACTGGGGAGTTCTGTAAAACAGGTAATGATCAAATACTCCTGAAATTAAAATTTAAATAAAAACTATCTGGAACAGCCAGTGACCCAAAGGAAAAGGCAAATTTTTGGCTTGGAAAATTGAAATGACTTGGTGAGAGTGAAGGCAAACAGAGCTGGATTGTCTGTGGGGAGGTGCTGGTATGGTCTGAACAGGCTTTGCAGTTGAAATTAGGTGAGTTGTTGGGTAATTCTTTGGTATTTTTATTATTGAAGTCGTCAAGCTCTGGATGAGCTCTTCTGCACTGAGCTCTGTGGTTGCACGTACGTGGAGAGACTCTATCTGGGGGATCTGCAGATAAGTAAAAAGTGGAAAGACAGAAGAAAATTAACTCATGTTGAGAAAAGACTTTCAATGTAATATTTCCTTTGACTCAGGAACTTTGATTTCTGTACATGCCCTGATGTTGTGGGCTGGCTCAGTGGGGCTGGCTCCTGACACCTACTTTTAACACTGTAGGGATCCTTAGCTGCTTTTTTAAAATTTCACATTCCTGATGGAGCTACCTAATTTCCAAAGCACTGAAAACATTAAAGAGGAAGATGTTTCCTAGTCTATACCTGCCTTTGTGCCCTGTCAGGATGTACCACTGTTGGGTTGGGCTGTACAGTGCAGAGGTCCTTTCCAGAAGTTTTGGAGTAGGTTAATTATCAAAAACAAAGCATGTGAATGAGTCCTCTTTTAAAATACTTATTCTAGCAGGGCTTGCAGTGTAGCCCTTGAACAGTGTCTTAGGGGTCACATGCTCTCCTGTAGTGCTGAGACTTGGGTTTAACTTTTTGAGGTGGGTGGTGGTGGTGAAAATTCATGTCTCTTCCCCTCCAAGGGAGTGTCCCTACCAGCCTGGGTACAAGTGGGGCTGGGCATAGAGATAGCGTAGAAAAAGTGAAACGTGTTGAATTAGAAAGGGTCCTGGCTGCATGTTGGCATTTTTCTCTGGAGTTTCCTGCACAATAGCCTTTTTACAGGGACCTTATTTATGCCATTTTGTGACTGCTTATTGCAAATCACACCCTTCACCTTGAATCTGCTAGAAATGGATTGAACCTTTTCACTCTTCCTTGAAGGGCCTCATTTTTCAGATGGAGTTTGTGAAGAAGTGTTGAATCAGACAGGTACAGTTACCAGGAATTGATTTGGAATAAGAATAGGTGCATGTGGGTGGTCACTGGCCACTATGGCTTCTCCGTGGCTGCCACTAGGGTAGCTCTTCTTTGTTTGTGCTTTGCCTGGGATGGGGACGTGGCAGAGGAGATGCTCTCAGGATCCAGGTTCTGGATCCCGTCCAACCTTTCCCCAGCTATGTTTTCCCAGATGAGTATTCTTGGTGTCCTGGGTCTTCACCTCAGCAGCAAATTGCTGAATTGTTAATCCTCCCAAGTGAGTTTAACACAGGGTATTTCATTCACATCTCCCACTGTGGGAAATACATGAGGAAAAGCCCCAAAGCAGCATAAATCCCTGTGAGATGGAGGCTTACTGCTTGTTCTGGAGGGAACTATAGCATTTCAGCCTGTTTGTCTCTGCAAGTTATTGATGGGCATGGTAGCAGCTCTACGAGTAAGAAATCATGTACCAGGCCAAGTGGTTTGAATAACTGGAATTTTTCTTTCTTCTTTAAGGTGAATCCTGGTGGCAAGACGCTTGAAGAGAGGCGGTCCAGTTTAGATGCAGAAATTGACTCTCTGACCAGCATCCTGGCCGACCTGGAGAGCAGCTCTCCATACAAACCTCGGACCCAACAGGTTAGTGGCACGTTGCGTAAACAGAGAGTGGGAAAGGGGCCAGAATCGACTTCTGGAGTCAATTTGCTAACTGCTTAGTATTTGTTGCGAGCAGGCATGCCAGTTCCTCCTGATAGCATCCAGATGTGGCTGTCAATGGGGAGAAGGGCGCAGCTGCTCTGAGGGGGCACCGGCTCAAAAGCTGCCGCACCTCTGAGCAAAGGGCCTCTGATCCCGATTGTTAGATTGCCACGGAGACTGTTAGAGAAATATTGGCATTGCAAAATTGGCATTTCATTCTCCTCAACTTTCAACCAACAATAGCTTGTGAATTAAAACCTGCTCAGTTCATAAGTACTTCTTTGCTTTTATTTTCTTGTCGTTTTTCTGTTTTGTTAACTTTTATCTGTCATGCCGCCAGAAGGATCCAGATATTTGCGTCTCAAGTTGTTTTCTTTTGTTTTTTGTCATCTAATCAGTGGCGATGAAGTGGCTTGGACCATAGCTCAGCTCTCAGGGTGGCTGTAGCCCAGCAAGGCAGACAGGAATTCACACTTCTCTGCTGTGTCTAGACAAGGACTGCAGGGGTGTCAGTGGCTCGGCTAATTTTTGTCACTCATCCTAGGTAGTGCTTGAGTGGAGCTATTTAAGTTCTGATGAGATGTCATCTATCTATCAGAGGAAGTGGTGACACCTTGGTGGCACTTTAAAACAGGGCAGTTCTTGGGATCTCATAAAATCTCATAAAATCATCCCAGATATGTTTGTGCCCAGTTGTGCCCTGTTTTTCCTTCCTAATTTCATGCATGGTCTCATTTCTTAAAAGTCTGTAGGGATGTATGCAGCTATATATATGCTGTATTAATCTTGCTAAACTCCTAAAGTCAAAAGTATCAAAAGGATAGGTGAGTGATGGGCACATAGCCATATAAGCCTTCTCTTTGATTTGTGGCTTTTTTTGTTCTTTTCACTGCTGCATTTCCTTTAAGTAGCTGAGAACCAGTACTTTTGGAGCAGAACTAAAGTAGTGATCAGAGTCTGTTTAGAATTGCACATGTTTAAGTCTTTGAACTGAGCAAAAGCAAAGTAAAATTAGATTTGTGCACTTTTGGAGGTGTCCATCTGCCACTGAGGATCTGAGTTTCCCATCCCTTCTGCAGGGACCTCCCTATTAAACTCTTCTTTCATTCTAGCAGCATGTGCACAGTTATTGCATAAAATTACAGACTTGTCCTTGAAAAACAGTCTAATTTGGGTTAGTCAGTCAAAAAGAGCAACAATGTAAGCCAGATACAATTCAGTCCTTTTCCCAGTGAGTTTTTGTTGTTGCGATAAATGAGACAAATTCTGCTCAGGCACTGCTTTGAATAGCCCATGTTCATTTTGTTTGTGTGGGCCAAGCACACACAAATGCGCACTATTACTGGGAAATGCTTTGTAGTGTCAGAGCACTGCGAGAGTTAACTGAAACACATTTGTGCTCCCCCTGTGCATTGTCAGTGCCCCTGGTCAGCTCCAGTGTCTTTGTAGTAACTTCTGTGCCCATTTTGCTGAGCATTTACAGTTTTCTAACGTTGCTGACGAGTGCCTCCTGATACTTCTTCCTTTGTGATCTGGGGTTCTGTGAATAGGTTGTTTTTTTCACTTTTATTTTCCACTTTTACCATTAAAAAAGATAAATAAAAAATTTACAGCATTCAAATGCAAACTTCTGTAGGAGCATTTGAGTTTCTGGAAGATTTTAAGTCAGAGCCCAAGTTTGGGCATCACCTTCCAGGATGACATGTGCTGCTTGGGGCACATGCTCGTTCCCATGGCTTTTTGCCCACAGCTCAGGTGGGGGCTCTGCAGACTTGTACCCCCTTACCCAGGATGGTGAGTGTCCCAGGTGCATTACACACTGGGCAGTTGGGTGGGCAGAAGAAGCTGAACTCCATCTCTGGGATCAAATCCTAATCTCTTTTGTTCAGTTTATCAGGCTTTTCAGGACTTATTGGTTAACATAATGATGTCCTGTGAAAAGTACAGCTACAGCAACTTTTAACTTGAGCTGTTAGGGAAAGAAAATGCCAGAGTTGGATGTATCATCTGCTGTAATTAAAGAGTACTCAAACAAGTCCTTGAAAGGTGGAACTAGAATGTAAAGCTTTGATATTTTCTTTTGTTTGATCTGTACTAAGTATTAAAACTGGTGAGTCATTTGATGGTCTTATAGTAGGATAATAGATTAGGCTGCAAATTGTAAGGTACTTACTCAGAACATCAGCACATTTATTGGATTACACCTTAGCTGACCTTCCCAAATTTATCAGGTTAATGGCTGCAGATAGGAAAATAGAGTTATGACTTGTTTTCAGAGAAGACATTTTCAGTTGTGCTTATGCGGTTAAAGAATTATAATAATTTTATAGGAATACCTTGCCCTTGGGGATACTCCTATTCTGGAATAAGAGAAATTTTATCGTTAGGTTCCTTTTTTATATTATCTTCTAGACAGTTTTAAAGCAACATAAGCTAAATGGTAACATAGTCCTCTCTCAGTGGAGTAGGAGTGATAGCAGGGTAATGACAAGCAGTTTATTTAACATACCCTGCCCACTGGCATAAATTCACACAGAGGGAAGGGAAGCTCTATTGATCCTTGGTATGAGTTCAAGATTGCAAAGAGACACACTGCACCAGGAGGTGCCTCTGGCACAGAGTGATGTGTGCCCTCTGCAGTAGGTCTGGAAGGTCCATAATGTTTCTCAGAATGGGTGGGCCAATCCCAGACAATGTCCCTTAGCCAGCAGACCTGCTTTGAATCTCTGCACCGTCCCTGCATTGCTTACCTGGGTGTCACTCTAAAAACATTTCTTATGTCCTGGGTAGGTGACAAGGACAGTGCCATGAGCTAAAAATGACCACCATTAATAGAAGGTAGGGGGAGAATTTGGACAGCAGTGCCCTCCTTGTATGCTGTGCTCCTGCCTAACTCTGGGCAGCTGAGTTGGAAAGCAAAGGTGGCTGATGGCTGCTTCCCATGCCTTGGTAACAGGAGGTAGGATGTTGCTGCACTGCAGAGCTGTGTTGCCCTCTCCCCTGAAGTGATGAGTTTGAAAAGCGTTTTCTCAACATGGATCCTTTGTGGAGCAGAAAGGCCTTTCCTTCACATAGCAGCAGGATTGATGGGAGAGGATCCTTCTGCAAGTCAGGTATCCCTGCAGTAGTCAACCTCAATGTCTCTAAACCTCGAAGGGAAAGATTCTCTCAGGCTTTGTGTTTGGAAAGTTCTTGTCTCTGTCTTGAGGCAGTTGTTGAGAGAGTCCCCTGCAGCAGAGGTTTTTTAGCCACTGATATTTTCATATTGACCATCAATAACATGTGGGTAGCTTTCAACCATTATAACCTCAGAGCCAGGCTCAGTCCATGTCTTGCAAGTGAAAGTCTCTCTAAGTCATAGAACCAGTCAGATGTGATTAAAATGCAGGCTTTACCTTTCAAAATTGCAAATCTCTAAAGCCAGGGAAAATTACAAGACTAAATCATCATCTTTAGCCTCAACACAACAGCATCTAAGGATGTTTTCTGTCGTGTGAGGTGGTGTAGGAGAGACCGTATTCAAAGAGTTCATCTTGAGCTTAAGTTTTAGAAAGGACTGTGTGACCTTCACCATCATGACGAGTTCCAGCCCGCTGATACGGTGAATTGGAACAGAGAAGATGACCAACGTGATCTCAAAATTACCGTGACTGCAATGTCATGTGAGATTTGGCTTGCCTTGGGTATTGTTTGAAGAACTGCAGATGCACTATGAAAAAATCTAATTAATATTTTCCTCTCGCTTGGTAAAACTTGGAAGTGCTAGTGTGATGAGTAAAGCACAGAGCTCCTCTTGTGTAGCTGCAGTGTGTTTCTGTGTACATATCACACCTTCTAAATTGCAGTAACGCATTGGAAAGTTCAGAGGCAGAGAACTCACTGTGTCTTTCATTAGTAAAAGGAGGCATTAGTAAAAGACAAGACATTAGGTGCATAACTTTTGGGGATGGGAACAGGGGCTAGTCCTAAATTGTGTGAACTCCTTAGCAGAGGCCTGGTGAATGCTGTGGTCATCTGGCTCCTCTCTTAAATGATATTTTTCCCAGTTTTTACCTGTTCTGCTTAAATTCTTGCTTAAGAGATCAATGCAACAAGACCTTAAGGAGAAGAAAAAAAACAAAAAGCCAAATTTCAGGCCATAAAATAAATGTTTGCATTTTTTGAACAACAAGAAAACTTTGTGACTCTGGAGAAAGGGCTTCCAGCAGAGACTGTGAAAATGAAATACTGGAAATAGCAGCACACGTAAGCTCAGGATTTTTTGCCCCTGCTGTGAATTATGTATTGAATGCTGATTGCTTGGTCTGGAATTGGACACCTACCTTCTGAAACTCTTGAGTTTTATCCCGAATTTCCAACAGAATATCTGTTTGGCAAAATAGCACTTTATGGGAGGTGTACCAAGTAATAAGATGTACCTGGTCTGGAGGTATTTAATATTTTTTTTAAAGCAAATACTGTGTTGCCAATATTTGTGAAGTGTTTAAATAGCAAAAAACCTTGTTTGACCATGTATCATGGTCAAGATGAAATCCATTTGTGTACAGTTCTCAGAGGCAGCTTGATTTGGAGGGAACTGGTCTCGCACTCTGAAGACCAGTTTCACTCCCAGCTACCATCACTGTGTTAAATTACCTTGAATGTAGCATTTCCTCACTGCTTCCTCTCAGAATCTCTTCTGTCCTTGTAGCCTGGAACCTCTTCAGTGTAAATTGCCTCTTACTACTCGTGTGTATGGCACGTAGCAGTGTGAAACTGTGGTCTGGGTTGAAGGTGATGTGGTTGTACAGGTAGTGGAAAAGAGAAAGAAATAATTTATTTTTTTTTTCATCTAACAGATGGGGAAAATTAAGGCAGAGTTAGGCAAGATATGTGAGGGTTTATGCCGGTGTCCCTGCCTCTGTCATTGCCCCTAGTACTAGACATCTGCCACTATCCAA